TATTAAGAATCACTATATCAATACTCAACAGAAACCCACATGATACGAACTGAAACCCAATTAATTACTTGCAATTGGTGATCAATCTCTGTAGTTGGGTGGGTCATGTGGTGGCTTACTAATGTAACTCGTTGGAAAAAAAAATAAAAATTATCACAGAGTTAGGAACAAATCTAAAGACAACAAATGCAAAAGTTTTGAGTTGAATATGAGTTGTAATATTAGGAACCCTAACGACTTAATTGTGCAAACTTAAATTACTTATTTTGACAAAATAATGAAATAAAAGTACATAAAAAGAAAAACAAGAAAACTAGGGATTGAGAAGAGAGAAGATTGTCATTACCATTCTCTAGAAATTTTGAAAACGATCTTCTTGCGTTATGCCTTTCTTCCAGATGTGCTATAATGCTATGAATTGATTCGCCGTTCTAGATGTGCGATGGGGACGACAGAGGACTGCGAGAGAGGAAGGAAGAGTTGGGAGGAATTGGGTTTCAGAGAAGGATACATGGTCAATATAATATCTATTTATATGAAGGGCAGTTTAGTACTTTCACATGAGGAAGTGAGTATTTGTGGTTAATATTTGCAAAGTGAGTATTCTTGATTAAGATTTCTGGTTTGTGAGTATGTACGTGCATTTCCCATTTTCTTTTATGTTGTATTTGGCCCTTCTTTTTTCAAGCATGCCAAAAATCATCTTGGTTTTGTAATATGTGGTTTGTGCCCAATTAAATTACCGTGGATCTTGCATTTTTGTACCCAATATTTGATAGCTGCCTTCTTTTAAACGAAGATTCATTGAGGGAAACAATTACTTTCCTTTTGAATATGAATCGATGTGCAACTCCAACTATCATTTGAAAGGTCAACATCAATTCATGCTAATATAAGGATGGATAACAATTGTCGTGTCCGTGAGATTTGAATTAAGGATTACTTTAAACAAAGTGGAGACTAGTATTATACCAAATGGCCATTGACATACGATATAATAGCAATAGTTGGCCAATATACATCACTATAGAGGCAATATTAGAGCAATATAACCACAATACGATAGCACTAGTATTACAATATACATGCTATAGGGTGGCGATATGCATACACTATCTACACAATAAAAAGGCAATAGTAAGGCAATAGGCATACAATAGAACGACAATATTACGTTAATCTACATACAATAAACACACATCCATTACAGACTATATTTCACACATGCAAAATAAATCGCCACCGAACCGTAACAATACTATCCCGCGAAGGGAAAAGGAAGGCAACAAAAGATCCATGTACTCGGGTGAGATGAATTGAAGCAGCACTCACCCTTACTAGAGGTCCATCAAAAGATCCATGTCTAGATCCATGTCTTTGTCCTTTCTCCTCGTTGCATGCACGAGGCTATGATGAGCCATTCCCTCTGCACCCATATTGAGCACCTCCCAGACACTAGCTACATCAATGTCACTCCAATTGTAGTCTGGTGAGATGACCGAAGCATAATCTCTGAAGATTTCGAAGCCGTTGTTGAAACATTCAACCATTTCATGGTTATATTCTTCAGATTGTGTGAATTTTTCAACGGCATATTTCTTTGTCTCTTCCAATTTTAACTTCAGGGACTCTAACTCTTTGCTCTGACTTTTTGCTTTTAGAGTTTGCTTCACTTCTCCAGCATATGCTTTGTTCAACTTGTTGGCCAAGTTTCCCATAACTTGGCCATGAATATCACATTTAGTCTCCCACCAATCTGTTGCCTTAGACAAATATTGGAGGTCGTGCTTGACAGCTGAGATTTTGTCAAGCGGATCATTGCTCTCAGCCTCACTTCCAGATGAAGTGGGATCGTGATTGGGAGTCAGAGGTGGAGATGGGAATGGCACATGCCACAGCTGGTCCCCCCCGGGTAATTGACATGGTCGTTTGGAGGGCGTACATCAGACATCATTAAGTATTGTAGGGGACAATTCACAGCTGTCGACTATAACAAAACAAAGAAAGGTACATTTAGTCTCCAGTTGTAAACAACAATATGCCTATTGTAGTGGAGAATGTTTGCCTTTGAGAAACAGTACTTACCTTTCTTGTTAAGAAGGTGGCTATGCTGCACTTACATATAGAAAGCTAAAGTTATATGTAGGAACGTATATGAAGACTTTATTGGGTATTTAGTTGGTCATTCAATTGATGGGATTGCAAACTACAACATTTACTCCTTGGCTGTAATTTACAGCAGTAGAGCATTACATTAACAACAATAAAATTGGCTTACAAACGAATTGACAGCAAACCTTGAGGGGAAATTGGAAAATAGCAAAATAGCAAAATAGCAAAAGTGCAAACTTGTAAAATAGGAAATAAAGAAAATTGGAAAATTGGAAATAGAACAAAAAGGAAAATTAGAAATACAAAAAAATGGAAACTTGAAAAATTGCAAAATTGCAAAATTGAAAATTTGGAAATAGGAAGAAAGGAAAATTGGAAAGAGGAAATTAGGAAATAGGATAAAGGGACACTTGGAAAATAGGAAGAAAAAAAAAAGGACGCTTGGCAAAATTGGGAAATTGGAAAATTAGGCAACTTGGAAAATAGGAAAATTGGAAATATAACAAAAGGAAAATTGGAAAATACGAAATAGGAAAAAAAAGGATACTTAGAAAAGAGGAAAATTGGATTATAGGAAAATTGGAATTTGGAAATTTGGGTAATTGGAAAATTGGAAAATTGGAAATTGAACAAAAGGAAACTTGAAAAATAGGAAAATAGGAAATAGGAAAAAAAGGAAACTCTGAAAACAGGAAAAATGGATAAAAGGAAGAAAGGAAAAATGGAAAAATGGAAAATTCGATATAGGAAATAGGAAAAATGGACACTTGGAAAATAAGCAAATTCGCAAATTGGAAAATTGAAAATTGGATAATTGGAAAATTGGCCCCATTACATTGGTGGGCTCCACCTCTATTAGAGAGGTGGTACAATTATGGTATGAAAAATGTGGTAATCCTAGCATTACTCAATTGAAAAATAGGAAATAATGCAACTTGGAAAATAGCAAAATTGGAAATAGAACAAAAGGAAAGTTAGAGAATTGGAAAATTGGAAAATTGGAAAAAGGGAAAAAAGGAAGGGAAATGACCTC